TTTGGAATAATCATGTTGCACGCGGTCATGCCATGACTACAGATGCAACCTCGAACAGAACCACTCAGTGAAGTGCTGCTGACTCAAGCCATAATCTTGACTAAGCGACAGAACGTTGTAGGGAACATCGCTTCGTATCCTATTCTCATGAAATTTACGGTATGCATGGAGCCGAATCATCTTCCAGCAGGAGATAGCCGACTAAAAATGTTTTGTGAATCAGATATGGCTCACTGGCATAGCAATCCATCATTGCCCATCTAAACCGGGGTCAACAAATGCTCTTGCCTAAAATCAGTATTCATTCAATGAGTTTTGCACAGTATTCGTGCAATATGTTGTTCAAAGATCGATGATGTGCTTATGCTCTTCTTGTAATGTACATTTCTACGCACTATATAACAACACAAGCCTAGTTGCTGCAATCAACGGTCAATCTGTGACGGATAACCGGTTGTCGCTGTGACAAAAAGGTTTATCAAGTTCGAAAAGTCAATCACGAATCAGGATCCGCTTTTATGAGATTAAGAAGCTCAAATGCTTAGGGGTTTGAGTGCAACGTTGATAGTTGAATATTTGAGAACTCCTTATACCTTGCCCAGAGTCTACATCTTTCTAGTGAACTGACCGTTTCTCAGCACATTATATCATAACTAGCCTGAATCCTTTAATGGTTTCTCTATCACTTAGAAGCGCTATATTTCGGGGTTCGCCAACCATTTGATGTCATCATCATTATCATCGTACAGCGAAATACGGTGAAGCAAACTTCGCTGACCGCTGCCAAACTCGCAATGTAATGTTCACTAGCATGAGTGTTACATGGATGTTGTTTCAAGCATCTGCTTGTTCAAATTTGATTGTAACCCTCCTCAAACGTATCATACATGTTTATTGGGCCAATCGGGCTTTGGCGCTATCAGAGTGAAACTTACCCGTCAGACAGAACGTTCAAAAAAGTAGGGGAAATTAAAAATTATCAACTCGTATATGTCAGTGTTTCTGAACCACAAGAGGTAAAAAAGATGCAACACTATATGATACATTTGTACAAAGAAGCGGTTTGGGGCGACTGTTAATCTAAATTGAATACTCGTCCTCTATTTTTGGCCCTTCGTAATTTCTTGACTAATCTTTGGTTTTTCCTCTTTTGTATGTTTGCTTCACGTTTAGATTGCCTTTCCTCCTGTTGTTGCTTCACTTGTTCTTTGCGCTCGACCCATTTATTCCGTCGCTTCAATTTGATTTTTCGTACCTTGTCTGCCGACTTTTTTATCAGGGATAAGTCATCCTTAACCTTCACACCTTGAAAAGAACGTTGGACAGAACAAGTATTACTCACCTTGGGCACGTAGCATTGCGATGGACCATTTTCTGCGAATCGTCTGACTTGGATCTTCGTTCTGAATGTTCTCAAGTTTTTTAGCTTTTCGCAGAAGTTTTGTTGGATCTTTGCCGATCAATATGCCGTTCTGTTCCAATTTGTCCAGTTTCTTTCTTTTCTTTCGATCAATTTTTCTTTTTAAAGAAGGAGTGACGATTTCGTCAGAGTCAAACAGTTGAATTTTCGAAAAGTAATATTTATCCTGACGAAAGTGCCTTATTAGGTATAACTTTAAACTTACTCCCATGTTCAAGTAGAATTGATAGCGCAAGAACTTGTGGAACTATCCTGCAATGAATTGTTTAACAAAACTTTTATCTCAAGAAAGATTCTACATCAGAACCATGTTTTATAAATTGCTGACGTTTTGCACATATAGGTGAGATGAATGAGCATAGTGGGACTTTACAATCCTTTGGTCGGAATGGCTTAGAGTATCTTCCCTTCAAACCCATTTCACATTCCAAATAATAAAATCGTAACATGGACAGAGAACAAGTTTGATGAGGGAAAACAGACTGTCATCACCAATACATCCATGCGAACACTTAGTCGTAGAGTTGAATCTGTC